ATCTTTTAATTTTACACTTTAATGTCGTCTACCTATTTTTGTGCTTCTGACAATAAGGAACTTGGATAAAATTGGCTGTAAACAGCTAATGGAAGACTTTTGTTAAACAACTTGAATTAAAGTTGAAAGTTTGCACTTCAAAATAATTTATAATACCTTAATTTTTAAAAAATAATATTAAGTAAAGTGTGGTGGTGTACAGGGGCAAAATCACAACCAATGTGTCCCCCCCTAAAAAGTATAGACTGAAGTGGTTAATCAGTATAAATACGACACTATAGTCTATAATGGTCTACAAATTCAAATAGATGTAACATTTTAAATATGGAATGTAAATAAAAAGCAAGAATTTAATAAGTTGTGTCAATAGAAAAGCTCCTAATACAGATCCTTTTTGCTTTAAGGCATAATATCATTTAACAACACTTAATGTTTAATTAAATCATGAACACGCTCCTAATTGTTTTATCAACTGTTTTAATTATTGGATTTAAATAAGAACAAATAAATTACTGTCTAAATTGTTTCCATGCTTTATGTTTTAATTAACTGGTACAAATTAATCCATGAAACCGAGTGACTGTGATGGTATCATTTAGCAGACATGGCATGTGAGGTTTCAGTATTTATTTAGTCTTATTTTGTCTCCCCCTCCCTGCCTCTAACAGAATAGAGAGCAGGCATTTTTTTGGCCTTTGAGCAGTGCTACAAAATTTACCTGCCGAATTTATGCATGTTTTGGCACTTTATTTGAGGTTAGGCTTCTCTGGAAAGCCTAACCTCAGAGGTTATTGTTATTGTTAGAGGTTATTGTTCTGCATTATTATCTTACATTATTATGGGAAACTTTGGTTGCTAATCTTTCATCAGGCTTTTTCTCCGAGCATTTTTTTAAACATGCTTTAGATCATTAATTTAGTTCTAATTGTTGGAATAAGATGTTAAATGTACTGCCTGAGCTACATAAGGATTTACAGCAGCACTAAAGCCCCTCTTTTTGAACAGGAGCATAAGGAAGTGGTGGGTGGCCTTACCAGACAAACGGCAGCAGCTGGTGCGCAAATATGCATGGCAGAAGCGCTGGCATCTAGCAGGGGGTGCAGGTGTTGCTATTATGATTGTAGCCCTCTTCCTCCTAACGCACCTTGACGAGTCCCCGCTGACAGGACGGACCCGCCTTCTTGTGTTCAGTAAAGAGAACTACATGGAGATGGCAGCTCTGACTTCAGATGCGGTGAGAGACGTTGTGTTGCATGTGACATTGTGAGAAAATCACAAATATCCATTCTACAAACATTTCTAAGAAGATTTATTGAGTCAACAAGTAAGAAGGTGAATAGTTAAATGGAACAAGATGGAAAAAATGTCATTTTTAATGAAATTCTTCCTTAAATATTTGTTGTCATCTCTGTGTTTCAGTACATGGAGGAGTATGCAGAGCTGCTTGTTCCAGTCACTGACCCTCGTCACCAGGTGGTGAAGGGGGTGGTGCAGCACCTGGCACAAAGGAACAAGGACATCCCTGAAGTGAATGACATCAGCTGGACTGTCCATGTGGTGCAAAGTCCCAGCGTTAATGCCTTTGTACTACCGGTAAGTAAAGACAAGCTGAACACTAAAAATGTTACTATTATAAGGTGCAATCTAGTGTTTACACACCTACAAAGATTAAAAAGTTATTTCCCATTCTTTGTGTAGAATGGAAATGTCTTCATTTTTACTGGAATGCTGGAAGCCATTGCAGATGTTCACCAGCTCACTATTATACTGGGACACGAGATGGCTCATGCCTTACTGGGACACGCTGTAAGTACATAACCACCCACGGACTGTTTGCTGTTATAGCATAGTTTATACTCCACATCATAAATTTACCTTAAGACTTGACCTTGAGAGTGAATAGGTTTCTTTTTTACAGATAATACAGGGTTTCTCTGGATCATTAAAAAGTCTTAAACTCTGAAATTAAATTCAAGAAAAATAAGACCTTAAAATATTTCATATTTCCCCAAAATCTGGTGAAGGTATTAAATTTGGAAATGGTTTGTTTAAGCCTGGTATGTGTGGGAAAGAATATAATGTGAAGTACTGGGTTGTATGGATTTTTGCATTGTTGAAAATGGCTTGTGTATAAAAGCCTAAAAATAGTGCATAATTTTGACATTATTGGATCTTAATTTTTATTTCTTGAAGTCTTAAATGGACCTTAAAAAGCATTTATTTTGATTGTTAAAATGAAGTTGGAACTATTTATTATAAGTGGAGTTATACAATAGGCAAAAAATTACGCCTGCCACTGGTATTATTAACAGAAACAAATCCCTTGATTGTATGTTTTCTCTCATGCATTGAGTGCATACTCTTCCGTAACAGACAAGCACTCAGTTGAGTGCAGCAAACCTCGCACCTGTTTAGTTTCTGAGGCTGAAGTGCTGCAGTGCACAAAGACCTGTGCAGTATGCTGACATCTAATAGGCTTAGCTGATCAGCAGCAGATGTTGCAGTGAATGAGTCACTGAAAACACTTAAAGTGCAAATATTGCTCAAGAACAAACTTTAGTCATTTATTAGCCCTTGGCACAGTCTTGGAGGTTCCACACAGCACTGTAAAATATGCATGTGGACCCCCTACAGGTGCAGAATATACTGCATTATACACTGAGATCTCCTGACTATTCATCACTTCTGCTCTGTCTCGGAAGTATCATATCAGCTGAAGTGGCATCTGTTGCAGTCTTGTTGCATCAGCCGTTGATAAAAGACTCAGTGACAATCACATCCAAACAGTCACTAATCCTGCCGGTGCTCTGATGACCAAAGTGACCTCAGGCACTGCTGTGCTTTATTAATTCTCCGCAGATGGCTGTCTTTTTTTCTCTCTCCAGCTTTAAAGCCCATTCTTC